TCCCCGGCATTCACAGGAAGCTTGACATTTACTCCTGGTGGACCACATACTTTCCAGTCACGTGACATTCATCATGGCTCTCTGCTCAGTGAAGGCAGCTGTCACAGATTAGCAAGGGACCACATGAACGCCAATAGAAGGACAACACATAAGAAGACCACAAGCTGTATATTTCTGGGACTTTGCCCCGGCAACTGCCTCTTGTTTTTGCAGTTTTGAGTTCGGAGTTAGGGAAGGCCGATTTGTCTCTCAAATCCTTTTTTCCATCTATGTCCAAGTAAATATGGTGAGCCACAAATGATTCCAGTGGGCACCTGTCACCATGTGCCCCTCTTCCTATTGTAGGTCCACTTTAACGTTTTCCCCTCAGCATCTACGACGCAATGGGAATATTAAGCAAAGCACATTGAGAAATAAATAAGTAAAATTGGATAAATAATTAAAATGGACATGAATTGTAGGGGGGTATGATATGAAAGTGGAATGGATCCAAATATTACATGAATGTATAATTGCTAAGTAAAATAGTCAATGAAAATACTAAAAGAAATGAAGAACTCTCCTGAGAAGATACAACACTTTCTCCACGGTGCCATCACCTTTCCTCTTTCTTTCTTTCCTGAAATTTCTATTACCGGGCAAATTTAGGCTCATTCTTACACTATTCCTAAACCTAGGGTTTTCCAGTGACATTCCCTACTTCCAGGAATGAGTGTAAAAATCTTTCCCTTTCATAGCAAGCTCTGGCACAGTTATTTCTACAGCAATTAACCTTATGCCTCTCTTGAATCAATCATATTTTCCAGAATCTCAAGTTGAAAGGGGTAGGGATAGACCTGCCAACGTCTGCTCCTCCCTGAGAACAATAGCACACAATTCCTTTCGCATATAACTGACTGGGCCCAGTTATACTCCAGTGCCATTGACGAGATGAAGTTATAATAACTGCAGTTCATACATTGTTGGAAGAGTCTGAGTGGTGATTTGAGCTCCATTTCATTCCCTACCCTCATTCTGACCAACTGAACTCACACCTATAGTAATCGGTATAAAGAATGACATGGTATCCGTTTTATGAACTTCTAAAGAAATATCAATCACCATCTACTCCCCAGTCAGCCTCTCTGGTTAAATGGACAGGAAAGTATAGCTTGAATATAAGTTAGCAGGCTGTTTCCTCATCTTCCAATCTAAACCTTAGCGCTTATTGATAAGGAGAGTCGGGTCTAAAGAAATCACTCTAGTCAAAAAAAAAAAAAAAAAAAAAAAAACACATGGCCCAAGAGGGGACGAAGATACCTATGTGGTCTTTGGATGTAATAAGATTATAGGCCTTTTGTTTGTTGAAACAAGATCTTGCTGCTGCATTACTCAGGCTAGCCTGGAACTCCCGGGCTCAAGAGACCCCCTCACCCCTTCCTCCTGAACAGTTGGTACTACAAGGTCATACCAGCATACCTGGCTTTAATAAGGTTTGCATCTCTCACCCATTCATCAACAGCAGAAGAGTATCCACCCCAAATTCTAAAACATCAAAAGACAGTAAAGGGTTTTTCTCCTTGGATGACCAAACAGAGACAGAAACTTCACATGCTCACCTCTCCTGGACACAAGTGTCATGCTCCACTAAGAGGTTATCCTGAATATGGAATTCTAGTGTCAACATCCCAGTAAATGTTAAATAATTGTAATGCTTGAAGAGCATTGCAGTGTGTTAGGGAAAGATCAAAGTGTCCACAGCCGTATTTGCCTCTTCTCAGGAAGAGATGTCTCTATCTTTATGTGGAAAATGTGAAGAGATAAGAGTCACTACGTCACATGATTTATTTGTTTGTTTGCTTGTTTACTCATTTATTTATTATATATACAGTGCTCTGGCTACATGCCAGAAGATGGCACCAAATTTCTTTATCAATGGTTGTGAGCCACCATGTGGGTGCTGGAAATTGAACTCAGGACCTCTGAAATAGCAGCCAGTGCTCTTAACCCCCGAGCCATCTCTCCAGCCCCACTATTATCATATGACTAAAAATGCTGGGACTCTGAATTCCTTAAGTTTTGTCAAAGCCATCATCAGAAAGGAAAGGGCTAATGATTTGGTGTCATTAGTCTGAAAAAAAGTTCAAGAGAAAAGAAAGAAATCTTTGTATATTTAAAAGACATTTTGAACCATAATACCCCTTATCTAGAAGAGGAAAGGGCCTCTGGAGAAGCCTAGCCTGGGATGGACAGACAGATTCTTTCCACCATTAATGAACACACACTGGGCAAGAAATGGAATCCCAATTTATTACCTGCTATTCAACAGAATAGTTAGGTGTTGTAGGAGGTCCTTCTGTCTGTGTGTTGCTTTCATTGGTTAATAAAGGAACTGCCTTGGCCTGTTGATAGGGCAGAACTTAGGTAGGCAGAGAAGACAGAACTGAATGCTAGGAGGAAGAAGGCAGAGTCACAGAGAGATGCCACAGAGCTGCTGCCAGAGTTAGACATGCTGAAACTTTATTGGTAGGCCATGACCTCATATTGATGCACAAAATTAATAGGGATAGTTAAATTAAGATGTAAGAGTTAGCCAATAAGAAGACAGAGCTGATGGGCCAAGCAGTGATCTAATAAATACAGTTTCTGTGTGGTTATTTCAGGGCTAAGCTAGTTGGGCAGCCAGGACAAACAAGCAGCCCCCTCACTACTACAGTTAGGGACATCCCCAAACACATGAAATGAACAAGAAAGACCTAATTCTAGTGGTACTTGAGGTAGCCCTGATGATAAAGACAGGGAGAGCACCTGTGGATAAAGAATATATCCCTGACTCTTACCCGAAAATTTAACAATGGCTCTGAGATTAGGGAGCTAAATATGTTCCTTTGAGTTTGTGCAGTATATTAGACAACTGTCCTTATCACACTGTACAGATAAGTGAAAATCAGGCAAAACAATGCCTAGTGCGTTAAGGTAGTTGTTTTAAGATGTCGATTGGCTTAAAATCTCCTCTCAGAGAGGATTACAGCCAGATATAAGAGGTTCCAAAAGCAGAGAAGCCACAGACTTTTCTTCCTGCCAACTTCTCTCACTTTGTCTTTTGATCTCAGTCAAGATCAGGGATCATTTCAGTTAAGTGTTAAAAGAGATATTTGGTCTTTTGTTGATAAAAAATGATTGTGGCTTTTCATTCCCCTTCCCTTTGTATCTTCAGTGATGCTGCCCCTTCCTCTGCAGCCTCTGCCCCATGACAAGCCTTCATGCAGGCCTCGGCCTACGTCTGGACAGTTCCTTCGCTCTCTTCCCATCAATCAGGTGAGATCTTCAGAGACAAGGGGGTCAACCTAAGCATTTGAAGGAAAGGAATCTAAGAGACTTAGCTCACAGTGAAGTGCAGATCTTATTAACTTCCAGTGTCCTTCAGCCATCAATGGCATTTTTAGAAGATGAAAATAGCTAGCTCCTATGCATCTGTATTGTTCGCCTAACTGAAATTACCTGAGGTTAAAAAAAAAAGAAAATATTCAGCTGATAAGTTCATATTCCTAAACAGAGTGTTTTCCTTGTTCAGAGTAGCTTCTCTGAAACTGTAAACCATGAGCTGATCATAGCATCATTATACAAAGATTATTATCTCTTCCTTTCTCCTTTCTGGATTTAGATGTTCAATACACACACACACACACACACACACACACACAAACAAACACACTCATATACCCACAGACATACACACAAACACATACACCCACAAACATAAACACAAATACACCCACACTCAAGCACACACACATACACATAACACGCAGGCACACACAGCACAAGCATACATACATACACACAAACACCTGTATTCACACACAACAGCAGCTAGAATGTAGACTTGGAGAAGCAGAGACCCTCAAGGTCTCCTTGTTCAAACTGACTCATAGCCAGAGCTTTTATGCCTAAAAGGGCCTTTCAGAATGCTCTGGGACTGGAAAGTTCCATGTGTAAATTACCATAATGATAACTAAGTGCCACACAGAAAGAGAAAGAAGAAAATACAGCATAAATATGTTTCCTTCAATAAGAAAAACAATAATAAATAGATTACTATATAATATACATAATAATCAAATAACCAATAGATTACAAAATATTTTAATGACTTTATTTTTTGAAATTATAATTACGTCATTTCCCTGGTCCCTTTACTTTCTCTAACCCCTCTTATGCACCCTTCTTCTAAATTCATAGCCCCCTTTTCTTTAATTTTTCTTACATATATATTCTAAATATATAAATACAACCTTCTCAGCCCTATTTTGTTACCTGTATGTGTGTATGATCTCAGAGCTGACCATTTGATAATGGCTAATCAAGTGAAAGCTCTCTTCTCTAGGGAATACCATTCCTCCCACTCTCAGCATTCCCCTTGCTCATAGTTATTGTTGGACTTGGGGAGCCTCTAGAGTCCTGCTTTCATGATCACACGTCCATTTTGGTGTCATTATTGTTTCAGATTTTGTTTAGAGAAGCCATGTTGAGTGAAGTAGGAATCATGGAGGAGAGTCTACAATTACTAATTCACTAAACCATTGTGATTCCCAAATACATTCTAAGTATTTATTTTTATACTCACAGATGTATGTGGTTCTCAACTCATCACCAAAGAAATTCTTCTTTGCAATAGGTAGAGACCACTACAAAAACCCGTAACTGAATGTAGATGAACGCTATAAAGTAGTACCACACTAGCTCAGAATTGAGTATAATGAAGGGTTCTTTATTTAGGGGTAGACTCACAGATCAAAGTCCTCTGCACGAGCAAGGAACAGGAACTGAATCCAGCAGGAAAGAGAGAGAGAGAGAGAGAGAGAGAGAGAGAGAGAGAGAGAGAGAACACAAGAATTACAACTACATTTATAGTATAAGAGACCATGTAAAAGTGGGCAGGTATCTGAAAGGCTATTGGCTGAAGAAGTTCCCACAGCAACCAAATAAAATGCAGAAAGCAAGAGATGGTATGGTTCCCAGTCCAAACCAATGTATCTAAAAGATAACTCCTGTTTCAGGAACATAGCAATTTGGAAGAAAATCTGGCATGCCTGAGGTCTGGGGAACAAGGATTGCTTGTTGCCTTTGCCTGCCTTTGGCTGCCTACATGTATGCAAGAGAGAAAAAGAAAATAAGAAAAGATAACTCCGGCATCCAAGACTCAGGGCAGAAAGAGTATAAGAGTGAGAGAAGCAGTGGCTTCTTGTGAGATGTGTCTCCTAGAAATGCCAAAGAGATATAAAATATTTTAATTAATATTTTCAAATATTATATAATTCATCTTTCTTTACCATTAATAATTTTTAATCTTACATTGACAAATAAATTCAAGTTCAACTAGTGCACCAGAAACTAACAACTAGCCAGGAAATTATTACCCTGACAAGTCAATTGTTTTATGTTAGTACTAGAAATGTATTTCTCTTTTATGCAAGTTTTGGGAGCCCAGATATGATGGGAGAGTGCAAAAACAGAATGGAAAAATTAGATTGGCAGCTCACTACCTCCAATATATAATATTTATTCAGGAGAAACTGAACTGAACTGACTAGAGAGTAGTGATTATAGCTTCTATTTATTGAGAATATCAATATGCCATGTGCTAAACATGCTTACTACATTTAATCATAAGAAAGATGCCTACTATATATCAGTATGTCTACTTTAGGGGGAATAAACATTGACTAGGCTATTTGGGGTCCCTTCAAGCATCACTGCTGGCAGGGAAACAAACTACCGAGTAAGATGAAGAATAAAACTCAAGTCAACTCCACTTTAGCAGGTCCTGTGTCAAAATTTTCTGGGGTCTGACCAAGCGGTTTATCTTCCTTACACAGTTCATTGCCGTAAAATCTTGTCCACATAACAATTATCTTAACCAAATTTTAGACGTGGCTACATAAAAAACTCTTTTGCAAAGTACACATCTTTAGCTAAGCACCTGTTATTATAGGAAGGGGTCCTCATTCACAAGTAACAGTGTTCAGGGTAAGGACCTGAGGAGAAAGGATTTGAAATAAGCATAAAGATGACTTACTCTACTGATGGAGAATGCAAAGTCCACAAGACCTCTTTCATAAGGATGGGTCTAATCAATGAATGACAAAGCTCAGGATTCGGGTCTAAACCATGCTCAGGATTTAGGAGATTCCAGCAACGGTTGCTACCTATAATAGTAAAAGATACGTATGTCTGTTTTTAATGCCAATACCATGCAGTTTTTTAAAACTATAACCCTGTAGTAGAGCTTGAAATCAAGAGTAGTGCTATCTCTGAAAGTTCTTTTATTTTACAGATTGGTTTTCTGCTTTTCCTTATGAAGTTGAATTTTTTTTTCCTTCAAGGTCTATGAATAATCATGTTGGGATTTTAATAGGGATTGCACTGAATCTGTAGACTGCTTTTGGTAAACTGGCCATTTTTACTCTGTTAATTCTATCAATCCATGAGCATGCGAGATCTTTCAGTCTTCTGATTTCTTCTCCATTTTCTTTCTTCAAAGATTTGAAATTCTTGTCATACAGATCTTTCACTTGCTTGGTTTGATTTACTCCAAGATATTTTATATTCTTTGTGGATGCTATGAAGGGTATTGTTTTCCTGATTTCTTTCTCAACCTGTTTACTGTGTATTGTGAGGAGGGCTGCTGTGTTTTTTTGTTTGTGAGTTTGATTGTTTGTTAGTTACTCTTGTATCCAGACAGCATCTACAGCAAATGGTACTGGCATAACTGGAAGTCTGCATGTAGAAGAAGGCAAATAGATTCATAACTATCACCCTGCACAAAACTTGTGTCCAAGTGAATCAAAGCCCTCAACATGAATCCAGATACACTGAATCTGATAGAAGAGAACGGGGGAAACAGCTTTGAAGGCACAGGCACAGAAGAGAACCACCTGAACAGCACAGGCACTGATATTGACAATGGTAAAAAGGACCTCATGAAATTGAAAAGCTCCTGTAAGGCAAAGGACACCATCAAGAGGACGAAATGGCAGAGTATAGAATGGGAAAACATCTTCAGCCCTGCATATGACAGAAGGCTGATTTCCAAATTATATAAATAACTCAAGAACTGGCCATCAAAAAAGAAATATTCAATTTAAAAATTCAACACAAACCTAAAGAGAGAATTCTCAGCAGAAGAATCTCAAATGACCAAGAAGCACATAATGAAATGTTCAAAATCATTAACTATCAGGAAATCAAATCAAAATGACACTGAGACTCCATCTTACAACTATCATAATGACTAAGATTAAAAAAAAATGACAGCTCATGCTAGAGAGGATATGGAGCAAGGGGACCACTCCCCCAATATAGGTGGGAAGGCGAACTTGTACTTGGAAATCAATATGGCAGTTTCTCAGAAAACTGGGAGTTGATCTACCCCCAGTTATTCCAGCTATACCACTCCTGGGCATATACCCAAAGGATGCTCCACCATACAAAGACAGTTGCTCAACTATGTTCATTGCAGTTTTATTTGTAATAGCCAGAACCTGGAAACAATCTAGATGTCCCTCAACCAAAGAATGGATAAAGAAAATGTGGTACAATGCAGTATTCCTCAGCTATTAAAAAATAATGACATCATGAAATCTAAAGGCAAATGGATAGAACTAGAAAATAACCTTCCTGAGTGAGATAACCCAGACCCAAAAAGACAAACGTGGTATGTACTCACTTGTAAGTGGATATTTTAGCTGTTAAGTAAATGATAATCAAGCTGCAATCCACAGACTCAGAGAAACCAGGTAACAAGGAGGGCTCAAACAGGGATCTTGCTGAGAAAGGGAAACAGAAGAGATTTTGTGGATGATCTGGAGATGGGAACATGAGGGATCAGGTTGGATCAGGTGAAGGAAGGACAGACGGGGAGAGTCTTGAAAGAGACTAATGGGAAAAGGGTGCATTTGGGGGTAAGATAGAAACCTTGTGCAAGGGAAACTCCAAGAATCTACAAGAATGACCCCAGCTAAGAGTCCTAGCAAAAGGGGAGATGTAGCCTGAACTGATCAGACAGGACTTCCAGGGAAGAGATTGGGACATCAACCCAGCCACATAAATGTCGACCTACAATCTATCCTGCCTATAGAATGCACTGGGGTTAAGGGTGGCACAGAGATTGTAGGAGTTGCCAATCAATGACTATTCCAGCCACAGACCCATGCCTGAAGAGTGAGCCCACCCATGACACTGCGTGAAGCACCAGGACCCGGGGAAGTGGTCCAGAAACCTAGGATAGAACCAAACATGACTGCAGAAACAAAAAGTCACTTTAATGATGCCTGATGATATACTGCCATACTCATGGTTTGGTGCCTAGCCCAATTGTCATCAGAGTGGCTTCCCCCAGCAACTGATGGAAACAGATTCAGAGACCCACAGCCAATCACTAGGTGGTGCTTGGGGAATCATGCTGAAGCTAGAAAAGAAGGGTTGTAGAAACCAGAGGGGCCAAGGACATTATAAGAAACCCACAGAATCAACTAACCTTGGCTCATAGGGACTCACACATACTGAACAGACAACCAGGGAGCCTGCATGGGACTGACATAGGCACTCTGCACGTTTGTTCCAGTTGTGCAGCTTGGTCTTCTTGTGGGACTCTCTTTGACACTTTGAGGACCCAATTCCTCATATAAGGTTGCCTTGTCCAGCCTTATACAAGGAGAGGCACTTAGTCTTACTGCAACTTGATATGCCATATTTGGTTGATATCCATGGGAGACCTGCCCTTTTCTGAATAGTGGGTGGGATGGCGGGGAGACAGGGGAAGAAACTGGGAGGATAGGGGGAAGGGAAAACTGCAGTCAGGGTGTAAAATAAATAAATAAGTATTTCAAAAATGGCAAAAGATCACCAAGCTGTTAGACAACATCCATATCAGCCTTCCAGGCGAACAGATGTCAGTCATTTTCTTCCCCTGAAGAAAAGACCTGTGCTTTTAACAAATCTGGTTTTTCAAATGCTTTCTAGAAACTGTGTCTCCTCCTCTAGGCAAGATAAGCAATTGCCCAGTGTTGAATGACTATGTTGAGACATAAGCCAGGATTGTCTAATTTCAAAAGGCTAAACACAGTTTGTAGAAAATACAGATCAAGCACTCAATTCCATGCACATATTCTACATTATCTAAAATAATTACACGAGAAGTTTGCATGTTTCTCCGGTTTTACCAGGAAGATAACAGACTATATTGGACAATCCTCACTCAGAAGAAACTTCTGGAACTAAAGACAAGCTGAACCTAAGCAAATTTACTGAGTGGATCCTGACCACTTACAAATGATTATCAGTATGTATGGCAGTAAATGCACCATGAACACTTCCTCTATCCAACACATGAATCATGGGATTAGATACCCACTCAATGCAGGGTTAACTAATGATGTAATACTTACCTTTTGCTCCAACAATGTAACAGCTAATAGAGTAATTACAGCCATCATTGAAATGGGCATTTGAAGATTGCTCCAAGGCAGAATTTAGCTAAGGGACTGATCCAATTATACTGATCCAGCAAAAAAGATCCTGAAGTTTTAAAAGCCATTTGTACAGCATAATTACATCACCAGGCTTTTCCTCCAGTAGACTCACTGAATTCAAAATAAGAAACAGATAAAATACAGACCTAGGCTTACCTTGTATTCTTCAACTAATGTACACAATTTAATTTCAGAAAAAAAAATATTATTAACCATGAAATATTTTGTGACACAAAAGCATTTCTATAGAAGATCTAAGCATACAGAGATTTAATTTCACCTATGTGCATTCTTTAATGGTTTATTTTTATTGTCAGCTTTGTAAGACCTAGAATCACCTTGGGGGAAAATCTTTGGGTAGGTCTGTCAGGGATTTTGCAGATTAGGTTGACTGTGCTGGGAAGAGCCACTCCAGCTTCCAAACTTGACTAAAAGGAAGGAAAGCAAGCTGAGTATCACCATTGATCACTCTCTGCTTCCTGGCTATCTGTGCATTGTGACCATCTGACCACCATGTCTTCCCCACAATCATAGAATATAGTCCCTCAAAGAGTAAATCAGAGTAAACCTTTCTGCCTTAAACTTCTTGGGACATAGTTTGCCATAGCAACAAGAAAAGT